CAGGTGGCAAGAAATTAAGATTGAGTTCAGTCCATATGAGTTTGGATTTGTCATTATCCTTGTCTTGTGACTATGGTTTTGACAATTCACATGGATAAGAACACATACACCATTAAATCTAAGGGTCATAAGGTTTCTCTCCGATTCATGAAAATGATGGTGAGGAAACACTTCCACCAAGTAGATTTGAAGTAGATAGCAATTGTGATATTTGCATTCTCAAAGTCGTTAGTGGAGCTGTGTGGTTAACCGGCACACTAACATGGACTTGTGAGAAGTGGCAAAGGTCTAAACAATTGAGACTATGATTACGGCATCCCTTTTCATAGTTCTGAAATTGTTTAGACACACCTGTGAGCTATCTAAGATAAGGTGTATGATATTGATAAAGTTTTATCAAAGCAATCTAGTATCAGAAATCTGAACTTTGGTAAGAAAGTCAATAAAGTATTGTTTTTTCTAGAAGTTCAACTGATTTCTGAGTACATGTCAAAGCTAGTGGGAGCATAAGTGTTATGCTAATAATCATCATGTTAGTGGGAGCATGATAATTATGATAAAGGTTGCAAGTTAGCAATGTTAATTATAGAAAACAAAAGGTTTCAATTGGGAAAAAGTTGTTTTGCTATAATTAAGGGAGAGGAAATTATACTTCATCTCAAATCTAAAAGCTTAGATTGAGGTTTTAATCGTATTTAGTCAAGTATATATATGAATGTTATGTTGGAATGGCTCAACATAAGAAAATTCTAATATAGGGTCCATTATTTGCGTTCTAAAATTCGATTATGATTACGACATCCCTTTTCATAATCTGAATTATGAGAACTTGGCAAATTGAAATGGAAATATTATAGCAAAAGACTGGTTTAGTCTTTATGTGATACATCATGAATCGTGTCCCATATGCTTCGGATATAGGATCGATTGCATGTGCTATATTCATCCTTTCTAAAATTTTCCAAATGCCTGGGGCATTAAGAAGGGAAAAGGTCTAGAATTGGATATGACTAAAAGGATTAAACAATTGTCGAGGACAATCTAAGGTTTACCAAAGATTGGTTGCTCAAGGACAGTTGGAAGTATAATGATAATTCTGGAAGGACCATATTGACATAATCTGTAAGGAGGAAACTCTTGTTCAGAAGTGATAGTCAAAATGGAATATGGAAATGTTTCAAAGTTAGAAATTATTCAATCTGTGTAAGATTAGGAAACTTAATGCAAGAAGGATGTTTCCAAGGAGTTGATCTCCTTTGGAATGCTCTGTAATGTTTGTTGTCAAGTCTATCTGACTTTGTGCATAATCATTACAAGAGGATCAATGCATATAAGTTTAGAATCTAACAGATTTCAGTAAATGGCATGAATTTGGAATTCTTGCATTTGCAGTAAGGATTTGGGACTATGAAAAGAGGATCATTGGAGTTATGTTCAATTGATCTATTTCACAAAGTAAAGATCATAGACAAACATAGTATGCATACTTGGTGTATGGCATGACTAGTGTTTAGAAAACATAGTGTACATGCTTGGAGCATGGGACAACTATTGTTTTAAATTCAAGAATAAAGTTGATAGCTGAAACAGTATACAATGAATAATGTGTAATCATATGGTGATAAATAAAAGGTGTTTATTTATGTTCATAGGTTTTGATACCATATTCGATTCAATTATTCTTGTGTTTCATTTTGCATGTTTTGACTTCCAGAATAAACTAGGTCATTGTTCTGGATGACTAAGTTATTCAAACCATCCACAGTCGGTCATATGTTGGAAGTAGATATGAATTAAGACTGTCATGGGTTGGCTTGTAGAGGTCTAAGATGTTGGACAAAGGGCTACAACACTCATGAGTGCTCATAAGTTCTGAGTATTGGATTCAACCCGCGCTCATTGGAATCACTTCATGGATTTTATCACGAGTGATCATGAGACGATAATATCTTATATTCTTCAAACCTAGAGATATGAGTTGTTACTATGAGTTGGTTATACATTGATTGCACGAAAACGCATTGGTAACTCGATGTTATAAAACGTGCCTTTGTGTATGATTCAACAAGTAGTAGAACAAGCCATATGAGTCGAAGTTTATCCATTCCTTTTACCTTCGGGATAAAAGCGATATCTGTGGGCCCCTCGATGATTTGGTGATGACAAACGTAAGTGCTCGGCCGGGCCTGGACTGATTTGATTTGTTCAATTAGTCAGTCATCATAAATCGGAAATCGGGAAACAACAAATGGACAGAGAGAATGATTATAATCCATGTCTCAGTCCATATGATATCTAGAATGGAGGAATATATGATCCCTTATCTAATGGACAAGTCATTGACAAAGGTCAGAGTTCATCGACAAGGTCAGAGTTCGACAGAAGCTTTTGAGAGCTACGATTGCTGATCGGTTCCTGAAGTCATACGCAATAATAGTTTTAGACTTATCCAAGTGGGAGACTGTTGGATTAATGTCTAAGTCCATAACTATAATTGGTAAGACTTGACCCGACCCGGCATGGTCCATTTGGGTTGCATGGCATCATGCATTTGGATAGACTATAATGAGAGAAATAACACTTAAGGTTGGTTAATATATTATAAGTTCTAATATATTAATAAGGTTATTTAATTAGTATTGATCAAGAATTAATTTGGAATTAATTAAGTGATCAAAAGGAGACTAATTAAATATATGGGTTGATTGTGTAAATCATTCATTCTTATATATGTGGGCTTGTGATCCAAGATTCCTTATGTTGGACTAAGTCCATGGGGTGACCCATGGATACTCCATGGAGGTTAAAATCCATGGAGCATAAGGAATGGGTAAAGTTATGAGTTACATGGTGTAACCCTAATAGCCACCATATAAAAGAATCCCATGGCTCAAGAAATCATGCACTAATGTGTGAATATGAGGGCTAGACGATTTCAAGGAGTGTTCCATTTCTCTCAAGTCATTCCATGTGCATTTGGTGTTGTGTGAACCATTTGAGGTGTCACACTTGGGGCACTAGGCACTCAAGCTTCATGGAGACAAGCTACATCAAACAAAAGGTATGTATTCTATCCATTTGATTATCCAAGTATCAAGTATTGTATGCTAGATAGGGTAATACCTTGGAAAGTTCATAATTGCATGTATAATAGAGAAAACATAGATCCAAGGTATTTAGGGTTGCATGTACACTTAGGAGTGTTAGAATGCGCAAAACCCATCAAAAAGATCACAACTTTCCTCGTTCATGAGGTCCAAGAAGCATTCTAAACTGAGCAAAAGACGTTGGAGTCCACTCAAATCTAAGATCACCCATAAAATGGACCAAAAGTGCTAAAAACCCCAAATGACAAGATCTAAGGAACTAGATAGCAATATCAGAACTTTATACTTACAATAGTCCAGAAATGAAGTGTCTCTGATGGATCCAAACTTGAAGCATCATTCCTTGAAACCAAAAGAACCTTCTTAATCTTTAAATTTCATCAAAATATCATAAAAAGCACCCAAAAGATGAGAGAGGAGAATCTCAAATCTTGAAGGTGAAGGTTAGGGTTTCTCCCAATGGGTTCTAGAGGTGATGGAGGCTGACAAAATGGCCAAAAAGTCGGAACCTTAAGTTTAAATACGTTGAAAAACCCTAAAAATCATGGGCTTGGGCCTGATTGATTGTCGTGTTGTAGCCACACCTTGGGCTCTGATCCTCACTCCGTGGCGACGATTTTCACCCAAATCCACCTCAACTTCCAATAGCCATAACTTCTTCGTTTCAACTCCATTTTCGGCGATCTTTATATCTACAGAAAGGTATCGACAAGCCCCATACTTTTATCTAGTTAATTTTAGCTTAGCACATGTCGAACTAAAAACCATAATTCAAGCAAGAAGCCTTTCATATAACTTTTCCTATTTTACCCTTTGACTCCGAAACACAAACCACGGGCTTAGATCACATAACCAATATTATCAACATGCTATAGGGTCTAAACCATATTCCCTTGAAGCCCAAGGTCTTTACTTTATCTATTTATTGTTCACAATCCCGAAATAAGAAACTTCTCAAAACATGATGTTATATGTTTCACAATGACAATCAATAAAGCCCGGGGACAAACGATTCCAAATGTAGGTATTTGTCTTCTAGAATCGGCTTTCTCGCATAGCCAACTTTATATGTCATTATTCAGATGGATATCATGTGTCAATACAAAAGTATTAATGAAGTTTAATGAACAATTCAACAGACAGCAAAGTCTATACATCAAATGTGATGTGTAAAAAAGTGTTGCACAATAAATCATGTGTTTATGTATATTTGTAAATAATCACAACTTTTCATTTTTAATTTTTATTGATTTCGTTTCTACTAACATGACTCTTATTAATAATTGTTTAGATGTAGTAAATCATTTTGCGCAAAATAACTAATCGCCTATACAAACTAATTTCTAAAAGAATTATTCGCATCCGTCGCTTGACGCGGATAAACGGCTAGTATATATATATATATATATATATATATATATATATATATATTATTTTTATGAAAATTAAAATATTAAAATATTTCAACAAAAAATTAGTTATAAAATTAAATCCATTTCAAATAAGGTTTAACTATATACCATAATAAAGTTAAAAAAAAAATACTACATATAACAACTTGACAAAATAAATCCCACTCACCGATTTATTATTTTGTCACACCTCTTGACTCTCAGTTTTCTTTTACATCTAATAGGCTAATAGGCTAACAACAAGCTTTTTATTTTTTATCTATATTATATATTATCACCTAATCCTACCCATCCATTAAATTACACACGTACCTGCATCCATCGACCTGCTCTCTTTGTCTTCTACTATATGTCTACATGTTATTTCATGATTGGGATCATATCAGCAATTTCGGTTTCACTTTTTTCTATTGCTAAATAAATTAAAAAAAATATATATATATAAACTTCTATTACATTTTAATTCCATACAAATAATGATATTCTTTTAGACGAATTTGAAAACAAGAGCCACAAACTGCAAGCAACAACAAGATGCAACAATAAAGAATGTTTTAATTGAAGGTTGAAGAGGAAGAAGAAGAGTTTAGGTTCACCAACTGGTGGTTAGGGTTCCACAATCCCCAATTTTCAAGCAATCATTTCTTAGCCACTACTAATCAAACCACCCAATTTAAGCAACACCCATTTCGATTCCCACCCTTTGTCAATAAACCCACAATTCCTTTCTTCCAATCATTCTACATTTTAATTTGAGTTTGAATCTTGTCCCCACGTGATGAGAATGGTAGGTTTGCTTCTTTCATAATTAATAATCAATCTTACTGTTGTCGTGTTGTATTATGTAATTAATGAATCGGGTGTTTCTTCAACTATAGAAACTTGTGATTCATTTGCTTCTTTTCTTATCCAATCATTACAACCTTCATTCATTGTTTTGTTCTGGGGGATGGTCATTGTTCAATGATTAGGAGGGTTGGTGTGTTTGTTTTTTATTACTATTATTATATTATTATTCTTTCTTTTTAGTATATCATGAAGAATATTTATACATCTTGTTCATATACATTTTTGTCTCCCCTTTAGGAAGAATTTATTTCTGCTGCTTTGGTTCTGTCTTCATCTTTGCTCCACTTCATAGGTACTTCTTTCTTGAAATCCATAACTCATCTATTTAATCCATAATCTAAATGACCCATGATCTTAAACCCTATAAGGTTTTCAAATTTTTATGTTTTATATATAAGATGGATGATCAAAAGGTTTCTTTTTGGTTTGGTTTAATTTCTGTGTTTTCCTTGTTAAATTAGGTATTACCACCAACTTCTAAAGGGATTATCCACCAGCCATTGAAATCAGAGATGGCTACTTATTATCCAAGTTCCTATCTTTCGACCCAACAACAACTTGATTCTTATCAAGAATCGCCTTGTCCTCCAATCGATATAATGTACCAAAATCATAACTCAACAGATGCCTCTTTCTTGGAGCTTTTGACTACTAATCCGCAGTCAAACCCCCAAAATCTTTCGAGAGTTGAAAATCATCAAAACTTGCAATATCAAGAATTGTCCCTCAGTCTTGGAATGCAAATAACTTCTTCCATGGATTTGCCTTCGTTCCAATACAATTACTTGAATCCCCATCCTCAAGATTCAAGTGGCCATGGCGCTCGAAGCAATAAAATGGAGAACATTGACTATTTGTCATTCGATAGGGCTGTGAACAATCAAATTCCATCTGGGGTTGTGGCAAGAATTTATAGTTCAAGATATCTGAAACCATCACAGGAGTTGCTTGAAGAAGTAGCGAATCTTCATGAAGCTATGAAGCAATTAAAGATGAACAAACGTAATAATGTTCAGAAGATTGGGGTTGATAGGTACGATGAAAATGGTTCAAGAATTGACTTTCAATCAGTTCCTCTTGACTCAGCCACCAGTTCCTCTGGTGAGCTTTCGGTTTCTGAGAAACAGGACCTTCAGAACAAGATTGTGAAACTCTTTTCGTTATTAGATGAGGTACACTCTTTCATTAGAATTCATATCTTTCCATTATTTCCATGTTTGTTGATTATATGTGTTACATGGATACTGAATTCAGGGATTCGAAAAAGGTTTCGTGAACAAAAAGTTAATAAAAGGGTAACTTTAATATATTTTCAAGTATTTAAATAAGTTCATCATTATCTACATTCCAAATCTTCAACTGATTTCAAAGCAAACAAAAATATTCCAAGGAATAGATTTCCTACCAACCACACACACGACATATTTCAACTCCTAAAACATTCAGCAAACCAAACACCTCTCGTTTGAGTCAAAATTCTAAAATCATGAAAAATACATTATGCATCGTGACTACTACTACAAAACATACAAAACAATGGTTGTAATGTGTTTGTTATTGTAGGTAGATAGGAAATACAGAGAATACTGTCAACAATTACGAATCATTGAGGGATCATTAGATATGGTGGCTGGTTGTGGAGCTGCAAGATCATACACTGCACTTGCTCATCAAACAATATCGCGACACTTTCGTTGTTTGCGTGATGGAATTAACGACCAAATTCAGGCGACCCGTCAAAGGCTCGGAGAGCAAGATGATTCATCAGAAAGAGTTCTACCGCGTCTCCGTAATGTGGAAAAGCAACTCAGACAACAAAGAAACCTTCATCCGCTTGGCGCGATGCGCCATTCTTGGAGACCACAACGTGGTTTGCCTGAAGGCTCCGTCTCAATCCTTCGTGCTTGGCTGTTTGAGCATTTTCTGAATCCGTATGGTTTCTTTATCGCTGTTCTCGTAGGCCCTGTTTGGTTTGCAGTACGCACAAAACATGTTGTACTGCGTCGTATGCACTGGACTGAGACTGATGTCAATGAGACAAATAATTACAAATTTTTGTCCCATCCAAAAAGGTGGAACGAGGTGGAACAGTGACTCGCTCTTAATCTCTCGTCTGTACAAAAGACGTTGATGCCCTCCTCATCGGCATCATCGAAAATAGCCCTAGAAAGCTTGTTTAGTCCAGTCTTATCTCGTCCGAGCTTTTCTTGTGTAACAAACGCAAATGCGTTTGTTACACAACACTGGCGGGGACAGGACGAGACTAGACTGGGCTAGGCAAGCTTTCTAGGGCTATTTTCGATGATGGGAATGAGGAGGGCATTAACGTCTTTTGTATAGACGAGAGATTAAGAGCGAGTCACTATTCCACCTCGTTCCACCTTTTTGGATGGGACAAAAAATTGTAAATTTTGTTCTATTGACATCGTCAGCAAACGCAGTACAACCTGTTATGTCATGTATTGTCCTGCATGACAAATCGGAGTTTAAGTTATATATGAATGATCTAGCTCCATTACCTTTCTAAAACTTTAAATGTTCATGTTCTTTAGTTACCCGAAAGATTCAGAGAAGATCATGCTAGCAAGACAGACGGGCCTTACCAGAAGCCAGGTATATTCAGAATCGAGCTTTATACACAAACTAATTATCCTCAAATTCAAATGATGAATCAATTTCCATGTCAATATCAGATTGCAAATTGGTTTATCAATGCAAGAGTGCGTCTTTGGAAACCAATGGTTGAAGACATGTATAAAGAAGAATTCAATGATCAAGATGTCAACTGTAGATCTTCACCAAAAAACGCACATAAACCAGCAATAGATCAGCTGCCTCCTTCAGATGACAAAGATAAAGAGTTGCAGAGAAATATGAGTTCTATGCCTGTTCATAATGTCCAATCTAGCGACTCTAATCAAGAATATGTTAATGATTTGGCAGACCAATACAGGTTTGATGATCCTCAATTGTTGACTGATTTCGTGGTGTAATGAAAAAGTGGGGAAATATACAGGTACATGAACACGTACAGATATGGGTTCTTGGTTGGAATTTGTGAATATGGGTGGTGTTTTTGTTGTACGTATAACAAAAAGTTTTGTTCGAAGCATAGCTTCTTTGTAAAGATATACTTAACATTCTGTCTATGTAATAAAGCAACAATTTGTTTGAAAATAATAATTTGTCAATACATAAACATAGAAGTGGGTTGATTTTTGTAATTCAACCCATTTTTGTTGTTCACTCACACTAATTTTCAATCAACATAAGAATGAAACGTACTAAGATCTAATCTTGGAATATGTAATCCTCATAAAGAAGAATACATCGATTATTTGATTCTCTCATCGCTCTAGCAAATGAACTTATGAAATGTTAAGAACTCAAGATACTGTGATGAAGCTAGTTATTTACAATAGTAAAAGAATTCTTACCAAAGCGGATTTGGTATAGCAGTATCGTTGATGAATATGAGTCTATCACCCAAATGTTGAATATTCAAGTTTTGTTTGAGACGAAAAATATAAATTTAAAAGTAAAGTAATAAGCGTGTGTAATCCATTCTAAAAAGACTATAGAAGAAAATCTTCTAGTGGAAAGAAAATTTCAAGAAATAAATTATGTGGGAAGGTTCATCAAAGTTTTATATTAGTTTGTGATCATGTATCGCATATATAACATATAACATAAAAGGTGATTAGAATAAAAGTTTTTTTATCAAATGTTTTGATAATTTATTGTGTTTAAAACTCATAAAAGTTTTTTATCAAATGATTTGATAATTTATTGTGTTTAAAACTTATGTAGCCCACAAAATATTATTATGTTATATATTTTATTTTATGTATGATGTATTCCAGGTTCATATATTAAAGACCGGTCAATCGAAAATGATTTTTTTGGGAAGATGATTAGAAATGAAGCATGGTAGAGGAAATACCTACCTATGGACTTTGTTTTGTAGTAATCTTTTGCTTCTCTATGGTTTAAATTTAATATGAAATTTTAATTTAGGAAGATGATTTGAAAATGAAGCATGGTAGAGGAAATACCTGCCTATGGACTTTGTTTTGTAGTAATCTTTTGCTTCTCTATGGTTTAAATTTAATATGAAATTTTAATCCCTAAATTATGTAAGCATTTCTATTTTTTTTTGTTTGGGACCATAATTATAAGATTTTTTATAAATTACATTATTTAAATATATTAATGATGTGGTGTTTCACTTTATAAATCTAATTTATTTTCTTCATGTTTCATGTCGTAACTTAAAATATAATTCATTTCGATTACGATTATCCCCATACAAAATTTGTGATGCCCATACACATTCATATAAGGTCGACACTTTATATCGACAATGACCTTAAATGATCTACTCCAAAATCTGAGATTTTGATTATTATAATTTCCAATTTTCTCATCAGCTTTTCACAAACTCAATGTCAACTTGTTTTTTTAATCCTTTTCAAATGAAATTGTTTATTTCAAATGAATTTTAAGAAAATTTAAGGGTAAATTACACCAATCGTCCCTCATACATATGTCAGAAAGCGTGTTTAGTCCCTATTTTCAAAATTTAACTCGGACCGTCCCTGGGTATGTTTTTTCTTGCACTCTTAGTCCCCCCACACATAAAAAGACTGTTTTGCCCTTAATTCTTTATTTTTTGTTTTATTTTCTATTTATTTGTTATTTATTGATTTTTTATCATAAAAAATAATTATTTGTTGCTTTTACAAAAAGAAATAGACTCTAAACCTAAGCACCTTCATAACTCGTCTCTTCCCCCATCACCACCAACACCGATCACAGACATCACCGTCGACTCCAATACTCCACATCACCGTCGACTCCAATACTCCGGCGACTCGAAGATATCTTCGGCCACTCCAAGACATCTCCAACGACAGAATAAATCCCTCATCACCACACCAAACCCCAATCCACCCCTCCCCCTTCCATTTCCCCTTTTCCTTCTGTCTTCACTCGAAACCATGTCATTGGACCACCTCTCCATCACTTTATGTCTTCTTTCTTTTCCGTTCGCTACCTGTGCACCACCATCATAGATCTGCGCATTTGCGATTTTCCATCGCAACCCGCGCGACCATCGTTGCACCAAACTCTAGTCGCTTCTCATTTTCATAGTGAAAGGGTTGTATATTTACAAAAAGGAGGTCGACTGGTGGTATTTGGGTGGTAACGGTGATGATTCGAGGTTCTGCAATTGGTGTTTGAAGTTCTTGCAGGTAGGGTTTCCATTCGAAGTTGTTGGGGTGATGATGTTACTGGTTAGGTGGTTTTCGAAGGGGGGTTGTTATCAGCTAGTGTTTGTACAGAAATGTGTTGTTGGTGAAGGAGGTGGTGGTTTATGGTTATTTTCCAAGAAACAAGTGGTATAAGGAGGAGGTGAAACAGGTGCTCGATGGAAGGAGGGCGGTGTTCTTGAGCTTTAAACCGGGGAATCGGGTGGGTGAGGAGAGGGTCGATTTTCGTGGTGGTGCAGATTTCCAGTGAGGAACAAGGTCATGGATCCGACAACCACCACCGTATCTGGAAACTAGATTTCAAAGGCCAATCCTCGAGCTCTTGACAACTCGATCTCACACATAGATGTCGTCGCCGGAATACTGGAGGGTAGGATTTTGATAGCGTCACCGGAATACTAGGTGAGGGTTTAATCCGTCATTGAAAAATTGGAGTTTGATGGTGAAGTTTTAGTTGTCAAAATGAGAGAAAAGATGAATAAAAGGAGGAACCATTTTTTTTCTAAATTTAATTAATATTATTAAATAAATAAAAAGACGTCCGAGTTAATTTTTAAAAATAGGGACCAAACGTGTCTTTTGGTACTTGCACAAGGGACTGTAATTTACCCAAAATTTAAACAAAAGTATCCTACAAAATTTCATGTTTCCGTATCGTTTTCAAAATATCTATTTTGTTTTCTTTTGATGATTAAAATCAATCATTGAAGAAAGCTCGTATTGTTTTGTCATTGTATAATAAACTTTCTCGGCCCAACATAAAACTATATACGTATCAAATATTAAAACATTATTTTCTAATTGAATTTTGTGTCTGATATCATGAACAAGAAAAAGTCGCCAATAGAGAGTATTTTCATATTATAAACATGTATTTTTTTAAAAACCATTTGAGATTTAAATTTGTGTTACTTTTATTTTAAAGTGATTCATACGAAGGGAGACTCTAGATGGGACGAAAAAAAGATAGAGGGGTGGGTAAAAATAATTACATTTGACACGGGATGACTACCCTCCCAAAAAGAAGAAGGTGTGGAGAGTAAGGAACCCAAAACCATACTATCACTTTCTCGCTTGATGGATGGATGGGGGAATAACCAACCAGTATTCAACGTGCTGTAAGAAGATTTTTTTTTCTTAATTAATGCATATAAAAAATGATTGATCTGTAGGGAAAAAAAGAATTGGATCGTTAGTATCAATTTTCAAGAGACGTTTGTTTTATTCCATTAAAATTTGAGTAATTTACAAAATAGCTAAAATACTTAATGACTTAGTCACTTTTAACAAAAATAAAATAAGATATTATCAATTTTAGCGATTAAAATCGAAGGTGATTATAGTCACCTACGATTTTACCTATATTACCTATGAATTCATCAGAGTGAGCTATGAAATCGGTCCGCTTTCAACTCAATGGTCCAAAGTATATAAACCCTCATTTACATATTTTTAAATTGAAGAAATCATTCATATTCTTTCTAATGGTTCAAGGACAATATTTTTTTGAAAACTTAGAGTAAATATTTCATGTTTTATTTGTCTTTTAGTAGGCTTTATACATTTAGGATTTGTTTTTTGGTTTAAAAATGGAGGTGTTTAAAAATTTTAGAGGAAATCAAACGAAATAATGGTTAAATCGCAGGTAACATATGTGAAATCATACGTGTTCTAATCTTAGCTATAAATGTACACGTCACTGATACATATATTCTGCATTAGTGACTTGTATATTTATAAAAAAAATTAAAAACTAAAATTGCCGTCAAGCAAAAAGAAATTACAGGTGGCTTTAAGCTATCTACAATTTTTTTTTTAGAAAAAAAAATCTGAAAATTATGTTTTTTATGCCTACATAAAAGAAATTACAGGTGGCTTTAAGCTATCTACAATTTTTTTTTTTAGAAAAAAAATCTGAAAATTATGTTTTTTATGCCTACATACTATTGGATTGGATTTGTACTCGTATTGATTTCATAGTTCAAATTGTATGTGATATAGCTAAATTCGCATGTGTCCTAAACACCTATTCAGTGGCTTTTTTTAAAATCCAGATTTTTTATAGCCAATATTGGCCAATTCATTAAGTTTTTGGTTATGTTTGAAATTTTCTTTTAAGATTTATATCTAATTAATCTTGATTAAAACATAAGTAAAATAAAAAAAAAACCTATTTTATGTAATATTTAATCAGTTAACTATTTATATTTTTTTAATGATTAAAAGTTTATATTTATGTTTATATATAGGGTCAAGTTCAAATTAAAACGTATATATTTATAAGAACCTTACGACCTTTTTCACAAAGAATGTTCTTAATCAAAACACCAAAATGGGTAAACGTTTTTATCGTTTCAAACATTCATTTGCATACATTTTTGTTTTATTTTGGAAATTTGCATATGTTTTTTCATTTTCAAAGTCGCTATATGTTTTTATCGTTTTTTTGCTTTTATTTCTTAGCATTGTGATTTTGAATTTTAAAGGTATATTTATTTTAATTGTTTTAGATTAGTCCGTTATTTTAATAAACAACCAAACACTTTTATTAACTTTAAACATTAAAGCCAATAACCTAAAAAAAAACCTAACATACTTGGAATCACCCTGCACTCAATTTTTGTTTGCGATCAAATCTTTGTATTTTATATAGAACGCCATGTAAATGTTATCGGCACAACTAGTTATATCCATAGAATTACTTACTTTGATTAAAAAAATAAGAGTTTAATCATTAAAGGAACAAATTGAAAATCTTTAATCAATGAATTACTATAAATATACTGTAAGTTTTTTTGTTTTTTATGAATTTTTACTTTAAAAAACCCCAACACACTTTTAGTACAATAATCATATTGAACATAAGAAATAAAAATATTAAAATACATTCATTGATTCCTAGATCCAATAATAGTTCATGATATGCCAATCATAACCCCCACAAAACCATTTAAAAAAAAAAAGTGAAACCTAACAAATTGTGCAATCGATACTAAGCTAGTACCCAACCATATCGGCAGTAGAAGGCATGATAGTTGGTTGATTAAGATACATCATGTTCCATGGATTATCCACGAAATCAAACTCAAACAACCCATTAGTGCATTGACTGGTTGTACAATTGGTACTTGTGTTGATGTAATTCAAGATCTCGTTGAGCGAATCTAGTCTCTGGCTGAGCTCGCTTACCTGAGCCCTCAAAACGGAGTTCTCTGCTTCGATTTGAACAAATCGCTGTGTGGTTACATCGATGGTAGTCAAGATCTGGGCGTTATTGTTCTTGAGGTTGTTGGCTTGATTCATAAGATCATCCATATGCTTCTGTTTCCTCATCCTTGATCTGCGTGCCGATTCGCGGTTTGATTCCATCCTCTTCCTCTTCCTCTGGTCCATCATGCCGTCATCGGATCCGGAGTGGTGGATCTGTGTCGACCCAGATGAATTTCCGCTTGAAGAAGCCATGGGTTTTGGGGATTTGATTTATATCTTAGAGAAAATTGAGTAAGAAAGTTGAAAGAATAAAAATTAATTAAGTAGTTGGATCTAGCTGGGAATGGAGGATGTCTTCTGAGAAAACGTAAAACCAGTAAAGGAAGACGACGGAGAAAGATTGAACAAGATGGGTGCGGCGGATGAGGGAGGAATATATCATAAACCCGGAACGGAGGATTTCACAGAGAACAGGAGACATTAATCTCTAACATCCATGCATCAAAATTACAATATAATATAAGAAGAAATCAAAACAGAGCAAGAAAGAAAGAAAGGAGGGATTAGAAACGAGTGTTGGAAGAGGTTTTTGATGGTAGGAAGAGGCGTTGATTATATAGAAGGAAAAGAGGGGCGGAGAGAGAGAGAAATAACAGCTGGTAAGCAAAATCAAAACAAGTTGAAGCCAAAAACATGAACTCAACGTGTCATCTTGATTTCACAACCCCACCGGATATTCGCCTTTTTCTATTAATAAATAAATACCATGCTCGCTCTTAAAAAAAAAAAAAAAAAAAAAAAATATAAATGTTACTTTGTTTTTTTGTGTATGAAAAACGCATTTTAAGTTTAACTTTTAAAAAATCTAGCATAGAAGCCTCACTTTTTTTATCGCTTCAACATCTCATTATTATATTGACTTTTTGTTATTTTTTAGAGAAAGTTCGAGAAATGGTCAAAAAATGGGGATGGTTTGAAGAAAATAACCAAGGAAAAACATATTTCAGAAAATGACCAAAGGATCCGCAGAGCACCCTCTGCAGATGTATTAAGTCCTCTGCGGATTTGCTACACCTCTGCGGAATTGAGTTTTTTTTTATTTTTTTTTTCAATTTTTTGCGTTAATTTTAGTTTATTAATATTAATTTTTTTTTAAATATAGTAACACGTTATGTGATTATTATGTAAAAAAATTGAGAAAAAAAAGTTTTTTTTTTTCGATTTTTTTTGCGGTAATTTTAGTTTATTAATATTTTTTTTAAAATACACTAATATAAATTTTTTTGAATGAGGTCTAACTCGGGGGATCCATTAAAGGTTAAAAATAATGAACTTATGTTTAATCCGCAGAGCACCCTCTGCGGATTCATTAAAGGCTCTGCAGATCCTCTACAGCTCTGTGGAATCTTTGTTTTTTGATTTTTTTTAAATTTTTTTTTCGTTTTTTCGTTTTCTTTGCGTTCATTTTCGTTTATTAATATTAATTTTTTTTAAATACACTAATACCTTATGTGATTATGTAAAAAATTTGACAAAAAAAAGTTAAAAATAATGAACTTATGTTTAATATCAGTCCGCAGAACTGTTTGGGAATCCACGGAACTGTTATCAGCGGATCAGTGTACATACGTATGCTCTTCTTGGAATCATCTCTGCGGATTAGTGTACACCTCTGCATAAGGGAATACGCAGAACTGTTAGAGAATAAAAAAATGACTGACAAACAGCTCTGCGGATTACCAAACAATTTTGCGGAATAAGTAATATAAAATCACTTTACCATGCGTATCCTTTCATCGATTTTGTACCATTTCTTCTTCATTTCATTTTTTTTGAAAAATTAACCCTCATATTTTCCGTCATAATGGCTTCCATACCATGGAGCGCTGAGGATAACCTCCGTCTAACTCGTGCATATATTAATATCCACGAGACCACCAGGGTGAATGATCCAAGTTATTGGACCCGTTTAACTTATGCATTCAACGCTGACCCTCAAACTGCCCTAGAAAACTACCGCAACACCGTTGACATCACAGCAAAATGGTATGAATTAAAAACGGAAGTCTTGGTTTTCAACAATTTTTATACCAAAATTGATGACGCACGTCCAAATAAAGATGAGGAAGTCATCCTGGACGCGGTGAAAGCGGAATACATATCCATTAGTGACGGGTTAGAATTCGAATTTGAAGGCCCTTGGAATCTTTTAAAAGATCTCCCGTATTTTTAATTTGTATTGCGTTTGTAGAAGGATATTTTAATGTAGTTTGTTTTTATTAGGTTATTTATATGTACCGGTTTGTATTACGTTATTTATATGTATTTGGTTTGTATTAGGTTATTTACGAAACCAGTTGAGTTAACTTCTACTTTATTCCATAGAACATAAAATACAAAACAGTACAAATACATTGAAAACATACATCAGTAGCAAACGTATTACATAAAACAATTCATTATTTTTAACCTTTTTTTGTCAAATTTTTTACATAATAGTCACATAACGTATTAGTGTATTTAAATATATATATATTTTTAACCTTTTTTTTGTCAAATTTTTTACATAATAATCACATAACGTATTAGTGTATTTAAAAAAAAAACTATATTAATAAACTAAAATTAACGCAAAAAAAAAACGAAAAAAAAAACTTTTTTCTCAATTTTTTTACATAATAATCACATAACGTATTAATATATTTTAAAAAAAATTAATATTAATAAACTAAAATTAACGCAAAAAAAATTAAAAAAAATTAAAAAAACTCAATTCCGCAGAGGTGTAGCAAATCCGCAGAGGACTTAATAGATCCGCAAAGGGTGCTCTGCGGATCCTTTGGTCATTTTCTGAAATGTGTTTTTCCTTGGTTATTTTCTTCAAACAACCCCCTCTTTTTGGTCATTTCTCGAATTTTCTCTATTTTTTATTGTTATATTGAACTTGACCCTCCCCTCTCTCTCCTCTATGTGTGTCATAAAAGTTTAAAGGACCTTTTGGTAGAAACTAACCATTTATTGTTTGAACCGATTAACGTTGATTGGTAAAAATGTTGAATGGATATGATGAACCTTCTAATAAAAACAACTTTAAAAGATTTTCATTATTGTTTTATGTGAATCTATAACATATTTGATCAACCAAAAATGAAATCACAGTAATCTACATAATCTAGATAACAAATAAGCACAAATCGAATCTATAACAGTTTTTGTTTGATGAATCCCCATATACCCTTCCAAAGCTACATTCTTTCAAGTATTTTAACAAAGAGTTTGTGTGCTTCATAAAAAAATCCATGAAAATTTTGAAATACATAATGCGAATAAGGTTTCTTGATTTGGTAGTTGGTGAATACGAAAACGAAGGAAGGCAACTCAATGAAATATCACATAAATAAATTTAATTTGATACTATCTAGGTTAGTATCAATTGAAATTAATTTTGAATATGAAATTTAAGTACTACTATTATTATCTTTATTACCTAAAATTTGGCATGGAACAATTATATTAGTTGGTAGTTCATCGGGAACTACTAACCTTTTTAATCCTAGGTGAGGATATTTGATGCCCGTTAATTTTCCAATACTTTACTAAGTACACATGACATGGGTAGAAAATTGAATAAAGGATATAATGGTAGAGGAAGACCAAAAGTCAAAGAAGAGAGGTTAGTCCAAGAACATGAAAGATATTACATATTGTAATTACAAAGACAATGGTTATTTCAAAATCAATTCCCAACACCTTCAGCATATGAAAGTAAGAATGAGATTAATGTGGCATCATATTTGATGTTTCCCTGATTTGATATGTACAAAGTCTGATTGAATCATAGATCATGGATTTAGGTGCTTCGTTTGATGCTAGCTATTACGAGAAGTAATGTAGATTTTAGGCAGTATTGTGGGAAGGTGATATCAAGAGCCTTGATATCACCTTCGTCTCACGTAATGGAATGGGAACCAAGTCAATCGATATCTCTCACTGAAAACCTCCAAAAATACAACCCCCGATGAACCCTCTCATCGGACGATCATCAACAATCTCAACCTCCAATGGGCAATCTAGCTCACCAAGAGCGTCGCCAAGCCTCTTGCTGAGCGCAAGAGACACAAAAGATCAGGTAGCACCCAAATCGAAAAGAACTAAAGCAAACAACTCGTTCACTAAGAACGTCCCTAAACATCACAACATGAAACGTAAGCATAAACAATAAGGAAAGCGAATAATAAATGGAAACATATATGTGACCACATCAGGAGTCGCACGTCCTCCTCGACTGTCAGCTGAAATGCCCTGCTCCTCACCACATGGGCCAGCACCTTGCCCTCGCGGCCATCAGTGATCCTCAATGTAGTTGGAGCGGGTGCCACCACCACTCTTTTTGTCAACATCGGACAATCGGCCTTGTAACATCTCAATCCTCAGGTATGAAATTTAAATCTTTAGTCGCGTTTTTCCTTGGCAACTCGACGAGTTGGAAGGCCTCGACTCGTAGTGTTGAGGTGGTTTTGGCCGCAGATATTAGTGGGCCAACTCAACAAGTTGAGGAGCCTCAACTCGACGAGTTGGAAGCTGATTAAAAAACCCTAATTTTTAGGGTGTTTCACCCTATTTAAAGGTCTTATACCCTTTGGATGGCCTCCTTACCAGTCTCCTCTGTCCAGAAACCCTAATTTTCGTGCATCCTCTCCCAAGTTGAGTGTGTGAGCTTAAAGAGTTGGTCCTTTTGGTGTTCTTTTGTAGGAACTTGAGGTTGGAAGTGTCTAGATTGAAGGGAAGGCTTCAGATCCATAAACTCTTGGAGTATTGCCGTTCTTTTGAGGTAAAAAGTTGACAACTTGCTTAGATCTCTTCCTTGGAAGTTTATTGCCATATTTGGCTCATTTTTTGGAATGTTCATGGGGTTGAGCATTTCATGAAGTTATCACTTCAGATCTGGACGTTTTGTGGCCTCCTTGGGCTTAAAGTTTCAAGATTTATCAAGTTCTAGGCCTCCTTCATGCTTTAGGTCCCTTATTAAGCCTTCCTTGAGTTTTGGAGCCTCTTTATGACATGCATGGATGTAAAGTTAGCAACTTTACATGGTTTTCCAGCTCTTGGGTACCTGATCTACATTTTAAAGCATTAGACTTTATGGAAAAGGATTGAGTGTGTTAAGCTGGGAAAACTCGGCGAGTTGTCGACTTGGCTAGGGTTTTCCCGACTTTTTGAATACGGTAGAAACTCGACGAATTCAAGAGGTG